TACGTTTTAGTGGTTTTCCGCATAAATTTTCAAACCCTATAAAAGTTACTAAAACAAATCTAATTGTGAGTTTTTGTTTTTAGTCTCATACAGTTTTTTTATGTTTTTTAGTCGTCAAACAAACATTATTTTATAACATGAGTTTGTTGTACATCAAGTAAAGTGACATTACAATCATTATGCCCATGAGATTACATAATTTTGGCGACAAGATCTAGCACTCTTTGCCAAGTATCAACCTCATGATTTGCTTCCCTCTTGATGTACATAAAGTTATAACACAGCCTGGATTAAGTTGATGGCAAATGTCTCTTAGATATATAGCCAACTCATAGTTCCCCCATCTCCTTTGCATACTTGGCTGCTGAAGCTGCCCGAGTTTACTATATATGTCCTTTGCATCTCCACAGAAGGTAACTCCATGAATATCCCACCTTTTGATTTCCATTACCGCTTCCCTAAGGGTGTATGCCTCTACTTCATGTGCACTTCTCATAGAACATATAGAGGAGGACCTCCTAAGGATATGCTTCCCTTCATGATTCACAAACAACCATCCAAATCCCGCCTCTTGATCTATCGAAATCCAAGAAGCATCAACAAAGCAACAAAGACCATTGGTTCTATTAATGACTTCACACATTGTAGTTGGAATATTATTCTCTAAACCCCTTCTATTCTCCTGATTTMTAGCCCCTATTCCATCCAAATGGTCACTTAAAACATTTGCCTCTAACCATAAATTTCGATCTAGACCAAATCATTCTTTGCCTTCCATATTCTCCAACCAATATAAGGAAATAAAACCATATACTCATCAGCCTTCGACACATTTGAAAGAAGTATAGATATATTACCTTCAATATTAGGCAATGGCTGCATGTCTCTACTGAAGGCTGCTGTTGGAGAAAGGTCCCATATCTCTCTAGAGAATCTACAATGAAACAAAAGATTATTGATGCTCTCTAAGTGCTCACCAACACAATTAGTATTAATTTGCAGCTTTCTTTT